TAGTCAGGTTAGGGATTTAGGGTTTAGAAAATTATAAATTATAAAAGTCAGGCCGAGCTAGGCTCAGGCCGGGCTTTTTTGACAAATCCCGAGCCCAGTCCGAAAAATAATTGAGTTAGGCTTTTAGGTCCGAGGTCAAGCCCACGGGCTAAAAATCATGTTCAAGACTATCCGGGGGCCGGGCCAGGCCATCGGGCTACCCGGCCCATGAACAGGTCTATGTAGGATAAAGAGTTTATAGGTGTGAATTTTGAAATTATAGACAAGCTATTTTATAAAATATTATAACATAAAATGACCCAAAAATAAAAGAATTAGCTCTGTAAGTAGCCAATCAAAACCCACAAAACTTATTCTTTTTTATTTTTATTTATATTATCTTGACATGGTCATCGAAGTTGGAAGCAGCCTCCCATGAACACTCTCGAGTTGAGACCGAACGGGCTGAGATGGAGTCAAAACAGAGGTCTCTTTGATAGAGCAAGTGGCCAAGCTGCAGGAAGAAGCCTCTTCGTTAGAAAACCAACTTGAACGAATCTGGGGAAAGAGCACAGTTCCCTGTTACGATTCCGTAAATTCCGTTTACTTCATGGGAGACGAGATGACTAGATACCTCCTTATTAAGGAAAGCTCTCCAGAAGGTAACACGACAAGTCTGTCAGTTTTCAATGGAGGCTCTCAGTCCAGTTTAGCAGTTACCAATGGAGGTTTTCTTTCAACATTAGCAGTTACCAACGGAGGCTCTCACACAGATTTGGAAACAACTAAGTTAGAAAGAGAATTAATTAGGAATGATTGTACATAGGCAATTGCCTATTCTATTCTTATTTTCCATTATTATTTTGTTCCTCTTCTACATTCTTAACTCTCCTATAAAAACCAAACGGTTTTAGGTAAAATTTTCAATTCCTTCCTCTCAAAGAAACAATGGAAGTTTTGATCTTGAAAACCATTTTCTGAGTTGAAATGAAAAGATGACTCGTCACTTGTCGATTGTCTTCTTTAATTGGACATTGGTAAGCAAACACGGGAGTCAGATGGTCTGAGAAAGAACCATGATAGAATAGAACTACGTTTCTGTCCTTTGAAGCTTCTACAAACTTCATTGCCTTACCTATCTTGGATGCTTTGGAGATGTAATGAGAAGTGATGTCGAACCCGGTTGTGACTCCATAAGGGTCGATTCCTTTACAGGACTGAGCCGAGACCCAAGCAGTATTCTCCAACTTACAGAAGTTACCGCTTCTGGAATTACTACTCCCATCAGTCCCATGGGCTTTTTCTTCAGATAAGAAGGGAGAGAAGGGAGGTGAACGATCTGGTCTGGAGCTCCACTGGTTGCAGGCAATCACCGTAGTAGCATCTCCTTTAGTTGCCCTGACAGAAACAACCTGTTCACTACTGCAGCAATGGTGTCTAACTTCACCCTTCTCCTTTGAGTGCAAAGACTCCAACATGTGATCCATTTGCTCCATCATCCGTTTTTGRTTGATGRCCAGCAATCAGAGACCTTTACTTGCAGTTGAGCGAGCTGGTGCTCAAAACCAGTAACAATAACTGGCTCTGATACCATTTTATACGTGTCTTGGGAAATTCAAGTGTTGACAACTTTCCCACATATGTAGTATGGGGTACGATATATATGTGCTTGGGTCCCATTCAAGTGTTAGCAACTTTACTCAGATAAATAACTTATGAGCGGGGCCTTAATGTCAGTAGGCTCTTTCAAGAATAACCTAAGGAGGGGTAGATTTGTTATTGAAACAGATACCATTTCCATTTTTCCAAATAAACCAAAGCAAAATTGCCAACTTTTCTTTATGCAATTGATCATAAATAGTAGGTTGGATCCTAGAGATTCGGGCCACCAATCTTTCACAATCAAACCCAAATCATTAGGTACTAGGAGGTGAACATTCACAGTCATCCAAAGTTTCTGGGAGAGAATACATCTAAGAAATAAATGGTCGATATTTTCTCTATATTATTTTTTGTGGGCAACTTGCCACTAATAACCAGGAACATAAAAACCTTAATCTTTGGGGGAACTACCATCTATATTACTTCAGCATTCCTCATTATATGTTGTTTTGACAGAGAAATTACCATTAGAGGTAAATTTCCAAACCAATGTATCAGAAGGGATTAAAATCGGTTTGATGTGCTACCAAACTGAATTAGGAACGGTTGTTCTAATGATATCTTCTTTCAATATGTTTCTGTCTTTCGTCAATAATCTCACTCTCCAACATCTCCAAATTTGAAATACCATGTGGGTTAACTTCATTAATAATCAGGGTATTACCAGCCCACGTATCCTCCCAGAATTTTATAAGATTCCTATTGCCTACCTTCCAACTTGTTTCCCTCATGAACAGATCTCTAAAAGTTAGAATTCCACTCCATACCCATGAAATATCTTTCTTTACATTAACTTCACAAAAATTATTATTTTTTAAATATTTACAACCGACCACTCCTACCCATAAATTCTCTTTATTTGTAATGATTTTCCATCTAAATTTGGCCAGTAAAGGCTTTGTTGATCCATTTTAGATTTTTGAGCATTTTTGAGCCTCATACCTCCCATAGATTTGGAGGTACGAACCCTCCAAACTCCAGTTGACTAGATGGAAAGGGTTGTTGCTACTTGATTTAGACCATAAAAAGTCTCTCTGCAATTTTTCTAGCTCATTTATAACAATATTGTTGGGAACCTTGAATGATTGCATAATAAACTAGGGACCAATACTAGCTGTTGTATTTATTAATATCAATTTGCCTTGTATAGAAAGGGTATTTCTCTTCCACCCAGCCAGCTTTTTCACCATTATTTCATTGAGAAGTTTAAACGAATCCTTTGAGACTCTACCATCAATAAATGGGGCACCCAAATATTTTTCTTTTTTTTTCTTCAAGGGAATTTTGAAGATTTTTATCATAATTTTTTGGAATTTTCCAGGAATGTTCTTTGAGAAGGATATAGTTGATTTTGCCAAGTTTGGCAATTGGCCCAAAGCGTGGGCAAAACACATCTAACCAAGAAAGAGGAAAAAAAAAAAAGTGTTTATGTATCTTCTCCTTTTTTCTTCAAATTTTAACATATACAATCGTTTTTTTTCATACATAATATTTCTTAAACCATTTCTCATTAATTGGGCATACAAGACTTCCCCACTACTAAGCCCTCAGCCCTCTAAACAGCCCCTCCCCATTAACTTCGGATCCCTACAGTGTGCAACCCACACGTGCCCCGTGGCACATCCCAACCATGCATTGGGAATATTTCTCATGAATCCTACTTTATTCACCCATTACAATTAACTTTCATTGGTATAATTGATTGATTAGACAACTTGCCACTTGTACTTTTGGTTTTGCAATAGTAATATTCTTGTCCCACATGGAAAAATATTGGGGATACAAATGGATTGGATCGGATCTGGAGATCATACTGGAATTGATTTGAATCCGAATCCATTAAGGATGTCGATATTCAAATCTGATCTAATTTAATTTTTAAAATATTTAATAAATTATTAAAAAGAAAAGAAAATATAAGTTTATATAAAGAAAAATAAAAAATATAAGTATTTTTCAACTATTTTCATCATATATATACATGATTTTTATAAAAATAAATAAATAATATAAAAAGTTACAAGAATGCAAATATAAACATATTTATAAATAATATAGGGGGTGATTTGAATTCAATCCGATTTTTTGATCGGATTCTATTATCCAATCCAATAATCCAAAAGGAGATATCAAATCTGCCAAAATAGAATTAGATTTTGGATCAGATCATGGTCCAATTCATTTGCATGCTTAGAAGAGAGAGAGGGGATTAAACTAGTTCCAATCTGATTCATGAATTGGGTGTTTTGTGGAGATTTTTCCTTTTGATAAATGGTACTTTGTTGAGATTTAGTCTCATTAGATATCAAATTTCATGGGTTTGATTGATTGCTTACATAGCTTTTTACTTGCACTTTTGGTTTTGCAAAAGTACTTTTCTAAATTTTTGGATTTTTCCACCAAAACTCCTATTTTCATTCATCTTTTATCTTGTTCCACATGAAAAAAGAATCAAAACCTTTGTTGGATTTATTAATAGGAGCTTTCTACACTAGAACTACAAAATAAAAAGAGATTATTTACACACTTTAGAAAGGCATACTTTGCTGGCACTCCACACTCATCACACGATAAGAAGGCTTAATCATGACCATTGATTTTTGTTTTCCACTTCCAAATGTTTACACACTAAGAAACCTTGTATCTGGGAATGAATTTGCATGTAATATAACAGCAAATCCCATTGAAGGCATTCAAATAATGTTCTGAAAGCTGCGTTTGGAAACAATGCAAATAGAGTATAAATCCCGATTCAGGATAAATTTGCACTCTGGTTCACTTTTATCTGTGTTCAACAACATTACATTTATGCATTAACAAATGACAGAAAGATGCATATTTACATTGATAATAAGATATAAAAGTACATCAATAAAAAAGAAGTACATTGGAATTCAAGTGGGCTTTTGATAAAAAAAAAAGCATATACTTATTAAAATTCATGTTTGCATCCATTACACCTAAAAGTCTTTGATAAAAAGGTAAATTTATCAATGCAAAACTAACCCAACTTTGCAATTTATATGAACCATTTTATACTCTACATATTTGCATTCACACTTATTTGCATTGTTTCCAAACGCAGCCAAAGGCATTAAGATTTGCTTGTAATATAACATCAACTTCTTTTGTTTTCTTACCCCTTTTTACAAAGTTTCCAACTCAATTAATTAATGGTAGCCTCATGGTTTCTACCCCTTATTATTGGTTTAGGAGCCAATAGGACAAGAAATTGAACGCACTTCATGCTCTGATTGATAATGCGTCCATCACCTATCAATAATCCGAAGCCATAACCAAAGTCGCAGCAGGCCAGCAGCCAGATCTTTGTGAGGGCGTATCTAAAACAAAACAATCCAGCACAACAAAGACTCTAACCCATTGGATCATAGATACTGATCAAAACAAGTTGAGGAGAGTATTCTAGTTTACAACTAGAGGCACATGCTCTCAAATTCATTTTGTACACTTTCCAAATTCCCAGGCAAATTTAGAGGGTTCATCTTCTAACTCTTTTGCAAAAAGGACTCATCAAGCTTCTCTCCTGCTAGGAATGAAGTTTGTAAAAAAAAAAAAAAAGAATAAATACTTTACAAGTAAACAAGTTGTTTTCATCTTCCTAGAATATCTAGGGAAGGTACCAAGCTAAAGATACACGAAATCATTTTGAAATTGTCAAAATTATGTTATTCAGAAGGAACAACAAAACCATCCCTGCTTTTTTCACCAAGGGGTGGGATGGGCACATAAATCATGATTTATATATGTCCTCGGTTCTCTCCGAATCCCTCTCTCTGGACCTGGAAAAGGCTTTGAAATACAATAAAATGGCTCCAAAATTCCAAATATTTGTCAAAAATACCTAATTATTTACCAATTTCATGTCAGATAAATTAATACTGTTTCAACCTCAACGTCGCCAGATACGTCCATGCTGCTTCTGTTCTTGCATCCGCCTGCACAGTTGACAAAGCAATATTGTTAGGTCTAACTTTGTATAGGTTTCATAATTAAACTAAAACTTATCTTGCGAAGTTAGTGCAGCATCAATACCCCATCTTCTAAATCGATAAAAGAGAGATTAAAGTTGGACTGAAGAAATGTATTTCCCTAAAAATGGCCTTCAAGGACATTCCTAGTAAAAGCTAATAATCATAAAAAGAAGCATCAGAGCATTAGGATCACATACAAACCCTAAGCACCAATCCACACAATTCCCTTCCCTTTTAAGCTTTTTTCTTTCTGGGTGGGGGTTTGGTATCAAGGGCTAATATAAAACTACCCTTAAGACCTAATTACGTTCCAACTGTATTTTGAAGCTATTTGAGGACAATACAAGTTACAAAGAACAAGACATTACTTGGTTAAGGGTAACATCTTGGGCTAGCAATGTGAACATGGTTTAGAGTCCGAGGGCGGCCACTTTGTGGGAAAAAATGCCAAAGATTAGGACCTCACCCAGTCTACCCCTCCCAAGACCCCAGATAGCCAGGACTAACATTTTTTTCTGATCAATAACAGTGAATTTTATTAAATATTGAGAAAGTACATAAATAAGGAGCTAAAAAAACTTAACTCCCTAATACATCAAAGTACACCCAACCATAACCAACTACAAAACAGCCCAAAAAATAGAGTTTCTGTTCACCCCTTGCCTAGTTAAGCCATCTGCCAATGAATTTGCACTTCTCTTTACCCATGTACAGCTAACTTCCATGTCCTTACTCAGCCACTTAAATTTCCTCTTTTCATTGTTGTAGTTCCAGAGCTTGGAGTTGTCCTCCTTTAACCAGTTCACTACAATTTCAGAATCACCTTCTATGGTCAATTTCTTAATATGCATATCTTTGACCCTTTGTACTCCTTCAAGAGCTCCTAATATCTCAGCCCTCAAGGAATCTCCCACCCCAATTGGGCCAGAATACATAGCTAACAGATTCCCTTTTTCATCTCCTATCACTCCCCCTATTCCAGAGGGCCCTGGATTGCCCAAACTACTGCCATCAAAGTTAGCCAGGACTAACATTGGATATTTATAAGTTGCAAAGAACAAGGCCAGCACTAAAAAAAAAATCATAACATAGTGATTGTAGACATGGTGAATATCTGCATTATTCTAAATAGAAAAGGAAATTGTATTTAGGTAGTTCTGTTCCAAGTCAATCTTTAAATGCTATTATTGGACCAGAATCTGTTAAATAAGGTGATCGTATAGACTTGAGGTTACTTGTAGGCATGCATGAGCAGGGTGCTACTAGTGGTTAGAAATGATTTAATACATCTCAGATAGTAAGGGAGCTACATTTTAAACTTATCAAAAAAAAGGGAGCTACATTTTAAGCTACTTGCTTATATTTACAAGGAAATAAGTTCAGTAAAGCAAATTCAGGTCGATCCACAGATGGAAGCCATGATAAACTTCACCATTAATTGCTCTACAGGGAAGGTGAGAGTTCACTAGCTGTGCAGGCAAACATAATTCTATTTACTGAAAATGGTCTACAGCTGCAGGTGACAATACTATGTCTTCTCTTACAGAGTAATGTATCTTCTAAAATAGAATTGGTGGCATCTATTCTCCTCCAAAGTTAATTTACCTTTGGTGCTCTTTAGAGCGCTCAATGAACTCAGTAGCAATATCATGACCCTGATAAGAAGCTAGTACCGGTCTTATATCGGCAGGTCTATGGCGTGCTACATCTGTAGAAAAACCAGTAAATTTCAGTAAACCCCACATAGAGCAAATACCATTTCAACCTGAAAGAATCACAAAATAAGCAAAGTGGGCATCTAAATCTAAGCATTTTGAAGAGATAAGCAGAGAGCATACATTCAAGAAAAGGAATAAGATCCAGAAGTGCTGTATCATCTGCTTCAAGCTTCCAAGGCTTAATTGGAACACCATTCTCTGGCTGAAGGCTTGATTCTAGTGCATGCCCACTCACATAGAGGATCCTAGAAGGATCTCTATTCAGCTTTGAGAAATCCTGTAAGCAAGAATTAACCATTTMGAAACTACATTTCTCCAATTTCACAAGTCTCCATGCAAGATAAAGATCAAGCCTTCACACACTTCTACATTACCACATGAAGTAGTTAAAATAGATAGCAAGAATACACTCATGATTTCTATTGTTAATTTGCTATAGCAAGCTGTAAATTTGTTGAAAGACAACTAGGATTTCTTCCTTATAGTAATTCATCCCTAGATTTGAACTATCAATGGTTAGAACATGGGAAAAAAAATTGGGCCTAGAACAGTATCTAGATTTAAATTTATATCCAAATAACTTTGGAGTTCAGGATTAGACATTAATGATTTCTGAAAAAATGTGCCCACAGTACTAGAAAGTGTATAAACAGCATTTAGCAAAACAAACTAGAAAGTTCTCTAAACTTGCCAAGGGAAGAGATGACACCTGAAAATGAATCAACATAATGGTGCATGACAGAAATTGAAGGAAACAAAATTTACCAGGTACTACTTACCCTGTAATGTTTTCCATCCTGATATCTGGTTGCAGATCTTGATAGTCTATAGCGTATGCATCCCTTCTTATCCAGCCTTTCAATAATAGGATCAACATACTACAAACATGCCAAGAAAATAAATGTCAACTTCAATGGACTTAACCAAGAAAAAATAAAAGATACTGGTTTAATTCTAAAAGAAAAAAAACATGATTACCATACTCAGCTGGTCCGAATAAACAACAATTTCATAAAACTGGGCTAGGTGCTCCAAGAAGGCATCCACCCCAGGTCTTTTAAATGTTCTCCACCCCCGCTCACGCTTTACATAACAAGAGAAATATGGTTAAAATGCAATTTTGAAGAAATAAGGTTCATTAAAAGAAAACAAAAAGAAATTACAAGATATGCCAGTTGAATTACCAATCAAAAAAAGAGAAAGATATGCCAGTTAAATCTCCTTAAATTTTTCAAAACAATTCCAACTAATATCATCACTCATACAATCTTTCCACATGCAGATCTCTTTTATTTGCCTAACCTCTCAAAGAGTTTCTCAAAATATCTCTCCCCAACCAAGTGCAGTGCTACATATTTTGTACATGGCACAGGTACAAAGTATTCACAGGTCTGCAGGTTTCATGATACCAATATCCAAAAATCATGGCAAAATGACAAGGCAATAAATAATACTTAGGTGCATAAACAACTCTTACATACCAAGATACAACAAGGATAAAGTTGGATAGAGTGTTGGATGTGAATTTTGAACTAAAAATTGAAGTGTCCGGAAAATATCACACACTTGTATAGGTATCCAGGTATCATAGATGAAATATAGTAAAAAATAAGAAAATCAAAGTGCTGTCTTAATTGTTAGCCCCTTGTTGCATATGTTCTTTTCTGCAGAAACCTTGTTTACTAGTACTAAGTGCCTAAGTTTTATTCTTTTCCTTGAAATCGAAAATGTATATGTTGTATTTATATATAGAAAAACTTTACAAAAAGTGTCTAAGTACCCAAGTTTTTTACTCACTTCGGGTTGGAGCATCATTGAGATTAAAAGAAGTGTCACGCCAAGTGCTTCCGGCACAGCTAGACCTTTAGTTTTTGAAATATAAAGTATTCTATTCATTTATAAGTTGAAGCCATGTACTACTATAACATGTAGAGTGGGACACCATACAAAAACACACAAGCTCCTCTGACTGTCTGACAAAAGGCCTGAACAATTTCAGGATAACAAAATATCAAAATCAAAAAATAAAAATGATGAGAGATAATGTTGAACAGGTCCAGAATTGCCAGACAAGAGAGAACAGTCCTCGAAATTCTTGTAGTGACTTCCTCAACCGAGCAGCTCTTGCCCTCAAATACCCTCTGATTTCTTTAATTCCAAATGCACCATGATGCTGGAATGGGAATGGAGCTCCACAACTTTCTGCATCTTCTGTTAAGACCCCCACCCTCCAAGCCTTCAGGTGTTCTGTTGAAGATCTTGGCTGACACCAATTGAATTTTAGAATTTTACAGAAATAATTACAGACCCCCTCACCAGAATACAATGAAGAAACAGATGATCTGCAGTCTCAATATCCTCTACACAAAGCATAGTTATAGAATACAAATTTACACCTCTTCTTTGCATGCTGTCTCTGGTTAGACATTTTTCCAAAACAGCAGTCATAAAGCAGAAAGGCTGTCTTTGTAGAAATGTTTTCGAACTGCCATTGACCTGGACGGTCGGACTGTTCAGCCCGGTAATCATCCAGGCAACCGGTTCCGTTTTACCCCAAACCCGGTCCCTGGCCAAAAACCGTTGAATTGGTCAGTTACCTGCTGATCCGGGCGGTCGAACTGTCAACCCATTCGACCTGTTCAATGGTTTTGGCCTTTTTTATTTATTTTTTTTTTCATTGGAACAGGCCGTCTGTTCAAACCAGACAGTCAAACCGTCAACCCAGAAACCAGTGGCCAGAACGGTTCCGGTTCCAGGTCAGTTTTTAAAACCTTGCTTTGTAGAGACATGAGGAAGCAATATTTCTCTGTGGAGGAAGTCTAAGGCCTGAAAATTGCTTGACTTTTATTATGCTGAGCAATAAAAGTTTACAACGAAGAAATAAGTTGTATTATGCTGAAACAAAAATGTACAACTTTATATACAAGATTAAGGACTTATACAAGCTACCCCCCCCCCCAACAAGATTTACAACTTCGCCCAAAATAATTGATTTCTATCCACCCCTTGCTTAACAAAACATTCAACCTAGTTTTTAGCCGATCTTGGAACCCATTGAGCTTTCACCTGTAGATTCCTCGTTAACCACTTAAACTTCATCTCATTCAACCTTAGAATCTCCTTCTATGACCTGTTTCTGGATGTTCATCTCACTTGCTAGTTGTACCCCTTAGGTCCTTTTTTTTTTGATCGATAACAGAAATCTTTATTAATGAATAATACTTGTGAAAATTAATTACAGAAAATGGGGGAGGTAAACTATCTTAACTCCCCAACATCAAAATGGCAACAAAATACTAAAAATGTGCCCAAAACAAAGAATCCTTAGCCACCCCTTGCTTAGCTAACCCATCAGCCATTGAGTTAGCACTTCTCTTCACCCAGCTGTATTGCACCTCTAAGTCCTTACACAGCCAATTAAATTTTTTCTTCTCATTKCTGTAGCTCMAHAAGCCACTGATATCTCCTTTCAGCCACCTAATCACCACCTTCGAGTCCCCCTCAATCACTAAGCATCTAATGCTTAATTCTCTTGCTCAGCTTCTTGAAGCTGTACCCCTTAGGTCCTTACGAAGCAACCAACAGTTCATCCCTTATAGGATAAAAGATGCTCAGCTTCTTGAAGAAAGATTTGACAGAAAATGTTCCCGAATGGTCCCACCTCCATACTCTCAAATCATCTTGATCTGGACTTGAAATACTGCTGTTGAGCAGCTAGGGAAGGGTAGAAAGGTCTTCAATCTCCCAACCATTTAAGGATCTCCTGAAGGATGGACATAAACCACTTCAACACCCTGAAACTCTTTCACGTCCATAACCCAAGCATTCCCTGTTGTCAGCTAGAACGAAAAGGGAAGGAAAACCAATCCATTAAGGTTATCATCACACGGTTCACACCAATCACCTCTAAAAAATCTTATCCTACCACCAAGGCTCACTTTCATCTGTAATAGAATTGCAAACTTTGCCATGAAATTTTCCAATACCCCTCCACATTGAGCATTCATACAGCCCCTCAGATTCTTGGGCTCCAACTGAAGTTTCCAGGCCTATATTTCTTCAAGATTATCTGCCTCAAGAGATTTTCGGTTGAGATCTCGAAAACCACTTATTAATGCAATGTTCACTTCTCTTAACCTTTTGATTCCTAGAGCACCAGCTGCTACAGATTTACATAAAGGGTCTTGCCACCTTCTGGTCTTTCAAGCAGAAAAAAGGGTCTTCCCCAAGTATTACGATCCTAAGATTGTAAACATCATCAAGGTAAAACAGATCTAGGGCAGTTGGAATCAAGATCGTGTTCTAAATCTCAATTAATATTCTTGCAAACCGAATGTTCTCCCATCTTCAAACCTTCTAAAGCTCCCAACAGCATCTCCTATTGTCCTGATGACTTCTGTACTCCAAGCATGTAATGGTATTCCATAGACATTGAGCCATATAAATCTTATCTTCTCTAAATCCTTTCCAAGACAGTGACCATCGACTGAAGAAAATTTCTGGATTCCTTTTCATTCCTACCTTTCCCTCACTAGGGGTTTTTCCATGTCTTGTTTCCGCCTAAAGCTGAATAGGAAAAGCAATACTCCCAATCTTCTGACACAGGTAAAGCTCAAGCTGTGCCACTCAGCAATCACCCATTTCTCCAAATCTCTGATATCAGGTTCCAAGTGCACAAATCTACCCATCAAACAACAGTTCAAAAACTCCAAACTCAATTCTATCTTGCCCACTTCCCTAACAGACACGCCATTTGCCGCTGTGTTCATCTCATTCGCCATCTTCATCTCAAACTATACCCACATTGTTTTTCATGTGCATACCAACATCAGTCAATCAATATGCACCATTTCCTCTTGATTATCTTTCAATTCGTTCAGATTTTTACCTCTTTCATGCAATAGATCTTAAAACCATTTTGTCTCTCCCTCTCACTCTAAAATCACTTGTGTCTGGAGGCATGGTTACGTAGCTACTTTCTATAATGCTAGAACTGTAAGTCTGTGTGCCTGAATCAGTTTTGCTTTTCTAATTTGATTTAAGCTGTTCAAATGCCATTGGTGTTTGAAGAGGAAGAGACATTGCATTTTGCCCTAAATGATATTCTTGGCAACCCATCCAAAGTACCCAACCAATCCAACAGCTTGGGTAATTTCATTGATTGGCCAGAGGTGCTGAATGTGTTTTCTAGAAGTTATTTCCTGGYAATTTGGTAACATTATGAGTTTCAAAGATAATAATATCATAATTCTGGCATCTTTTCCCACATTTCATTTCACCCATTTCTCTGTTTGTGCACATAGTCTGTTATCCTAATGGAGTTTATGGTGGCTCAACATACAGTCATACACTAATGATAGTTGCCTGCAATGGAATGGTGGTGAATGAAACCTATTGATGCCAATAAAAGGTGCTGTATGATGTAAAGTATATTCAATTTAAATGAAGAAAAATACCAGTTTATGTGAGGGCTTCCTTGTTAAATCAAATCCTTCCAAATAACAAATGTTGAGATAACAACATTCCCAGCCTTCTTTCCTCCACAAAATTAAAAATAAAAAAATAAAGATATTTAAAATAGCTTGTCATGTATATGGAAATCTTTTAAAAGTACATTCCCTAAATTTTTTTGAGAGAAGATAAAGTACATGCCCTAAAATCTTTGACTATTAGTTCATCAGGCTAGGTGCTTCAGTAATGAACAACAAATTTCATTACTAACAAAAAAAAAATTCTCCTTAATAACATAGTCATTTTTACAGAAACCTAGGACATTAGTAAAAACGAATTCTAAATTAGATTAGAAATTAAATATTCAAAATAAGTTCAGATTAAAATATCTCTCCATTAAGTATTAAATAATCAAAACAAATTCAAGGCACATGCCCTTTACAAGTTCACGCGTGTATACATAACACATGCATGCATGCATGAATATATAGATTCATACATATGCATATGGAGAGAGAGAGAGAGAGTAGCAGAATTATGGGGTTTACACCTAAGGAGAAATAAGTAATAGATGAAAAAAAAATGGAAGATACAGACATGCAAGGTGAACAACATTAAGTTATCAGCTAATCTTACTGATAATGAATAGGGAAAAAATGAAAATACTTGCATGTAATAAAAGCCCAAGAATGAAAGTTTACCTTCCAATCAGAGTATATTAAAGTCTCATTTAGATCCAGAACAAGTGTAAATACATGCTGCTCCTGAGGATGCAAATCAGGAAGAAGCTTCTCAGATGATGGTTCAGTAAATCCCTGCATCAATACATGTAAAATACATAAGAACTGTATGATTAAAAAACCGCAAAAGGTAGTCAAAAAAGTAATACACACCCGAACATGTTCTTCAATTGACCTCCTGAGGTCCAGGTATAGCTCAATTGCTTTAGCAGGCACTGGGATATCAGACAATGTAATTAATAAAATGAWATGCACCAAAAGAAGGAGAAGATAAATTTCAAAAAAAGAGATATCAATAGAACTTCTCTAATTAAATTTTTCCCCTTCAAAGGGGTGAAAAGAAACTGAAAACTCAACCATCACCAATAAAATGGAAAAAAGGAAAAAGAAAAGGTAACCTTATCCCAACCATATGGGTTTGGCTACATTAGTCCTGTTTCACCATTCTATTATGTTCAAAGCATATCCATTCTTAAACTATTGGTGCTTAAATCATTTCTTACTACTTCTAACCATGTCCTTTTTGGTCTACCCCTTCAACTTGCAACAGATCAGTTCTTACATGTGCTGTTGATGATCTTCTATGCATGTGAATGACCAAACCATCTGAGTCTACTTTCTCTAATTTTATCACCTATTGGAGTTACCCCCAAGTTCCTACTAATGACTTCATTTCTGATCCTATCCTTCCTAGTTTCTCCACTTCAATAAATAACCTATGGTTAAAAGCCCAACGAAATTTCCTTAAGGGGGGATAGCCTATGCTATAATAGTGAAGATGCTATAAGAGTAAGAAATGAACTGCAGAATGACAAGTCCATGATGTACACATGGACCCTAGAAGCAGAATTACAAGGGATGGGAGCAGAAAATAATGAATAATGAATTAAAAAGAATAGGAGCATAATTCATAGATTTACCTGTCATAGCAGCTGAATAAAGCAATGCCTGGAATTTCTGTTGAAGACAACAATAAGCAATAAGTCAATAACAGAACTTTACCATATTAATAACTCAAGTTTTGCATCACAATAATAACAATAATATTGTTATTATAGTAATAACAATATAGTAATCAGTGTTTAAAAAAAAAGTGCAAGACTCCCAAGGCGCAAGGCAAGGCATGCACCTTTTAGAAGCAAGATGCAAATTAAAAAATCAAAAAAAAAAACTAAAAGAGAACAGTAATACATAAAATGAAAACCTAAATTTCAAAAGAAATAAAAGTCTTAAAAAGGCCTATATATTCAAATTAAAATACATAAGCAAAACATATAAAACATTTTCAACATGAAAATGTGGAAATGGCACAACATGTGGATTATAGCACAGTGATTCAAGCACTCAACAATTCAAGCATGTGGAACTTTCAATGTGTTTATTTATTTCCTAATTGCATTTCTTTTACTTAGTGTCATGTGTAACTTCTTGCATTCCCAATCCTAGGAGATCACCCCTCCCCTTGAGGCAAACCCAAACAAGTCCATGTAAGACCTAAATGTTTTGGCCTATATATAAAGGAGTATATTTTGTGACTTCAGTCACAGTTCATTTTATTTTAGGATTAGGGATCAGATATTAGGTGTATTGTTGTTGCTTCTTCAGTGAAAATCTTGCTATTGAGATCTTATTTTCAAGAACTAAGCCTTCAGGTATTTAAAAGGCCATTGTTTTTTTGTTAAACTTACAAGTTTTATAGGCCATTAATGGCATACAAAAAGTAATAGAAGGTAATTTAGAAGTTGATAAACCATTACTACAATGTAAAACACATAAGAATCTAAAAAAAAAAAACTACCAAAATGTATATTTAAAAAATGGCGCACACCTTGGCTGCAAGGTGTGCACCCTTTAAAAGAAGGCATGCCTAGGTAAGGCACATGCCTTAAAATGTGCCTCACATGCGTGCCAAGGCATGCCTGAGGTATGCCTTTAAAAACACTGATAACAACAACAACAACATGATAGAAGAGAACATTTTGAGACAAGGACAATGGTGTCCGTGGCAAGATAGTAAGAGAATCTATCAGACCCTTGACAGAACTCAATGATGGGGCAAGATTCATGTAGCTAACCCCAAATAGTTGGGACTTGGGACTAAGGCTGAATTGAGTAGATAGTAAGTGAATCTGCAATGCTGCATGGTATCTTTCAGGTTGCAAATAGTAAATAAATCTCCAAGAGAAAATTAAAAAGTTAGATCATGAGCTCAAAGGTCAATATAGTCAAGGGCTAAATTTCATTTCATATAATAGGGGTATTATCCCATTTCTATTTATCAATTGGTAGGTAACCTTCCACAAAATATCATATATGTCCCTTGTAAAGACAATACCAATGCTTTAAAAGAAAGACACACAAGAAAAGTGAAAGGACCTTCTAGCACCCAAGGCGCAAAGCACAAGAGAAAGCATGGTCTTGAATGAGGCAAGATGCATATTTAAAATGGACAAACAAAAAAAAAAGTAAATGAGAAAATATAAATGCATAAAAACATTGAAACCTGAATTTTAAAAGAAATTAAATTTTTAAAAAGCTTATCATCTCAAATCAAAATAATAAGCATAGCATATAAAATAAATTCAAAATGAAAGTGAAACCAAACAAATGTGAATTTCAAGAACTCAACAATTCAAACATGTGAAACTCTCAATGTGTTGGTCTATCTTCCAGTTGCATTACTTCTAGTTAGTATAATGTTAGATGTATTGCATTCCTACAAGACAAGTCCAAGCAAGTAGGCATGGGGTATTCAGAGGCAATATCACCAACCAAAATTTTTGCCCGCTTATATAATAAAGGGGGTTGGATTTATGATTTTGGTTGCAGTTCATTCTATTTTAGGTTTAAGGATCAGATGTCAGCTGTATTGTTATTGCTTCTTTAGTGGAAATTTTGCTAGTTGAGATCCTATCTGAAAAAAAACTGGGTTAGAAGTATTCAAAAAGGTCTTTTCTATTGTTTCTTTGAAAAGTTAATAGACCACTAATAGTGCACAATCAACTATTAATTTAGAAGTTAATAGAGTATTACAAAAATGTAAAACACAGAGATGTATAAAATAGTAACAAAAAAAACAACTTATAAAAGCATATACACCTAGGCCAAGGTACAAAGTGACCCATGCATGCACTTAATTTTACCAAACGTGGGTGCAACTTTTGAAAGGTATTGTGGTTGGATTGAAGCAAGGTGGATGTCATAAAATGAACCTCACATGTGCGTCTAGGTGTGCCTTTTAAAACATTAGTTGGACAATACAAGAAGTATCTAGTAATATTTCTCTAACATTACACCCCAACCAGAGATACATTCTGTAAATATTCTAATCCATGGAAACTTATAACGGGATAAGTATGTTCCTAAATCAGTATATCCTCTCCTATCAGGCTTTAGTGGTGATGTCAGATTGTCAGGTACTAATGCACTGAATATAGAAGGAAAGGTTTGTATTCTATGTTTTTGTGTAATACAAGACAGTAAGGTGTTGATACAGATCCGAATATTTTGTTGATCCAAAGTCCAAACAATTATACCATTTTAACATTTCTATTAGCATGAATTCTAAGATTTTTTACAAATGTCATACTTACATCAATAGCAGATGTATCACCTCCCACGGTCTGATTTGCAGACTCCCGAAACACCTTTGTCTTCTCATCCACTTCTTCTAAGGTGTATGCTGCATAGACAAGTAAAAAAAAAATAGAATAAAAAAAAGCATCCCATTTTCCAATAAAGAATCAACATTCTCTTCTCTTCTCTTTTCTTCTCTTCACTAAGGATTTTCTTTCTTCTTCAGTGCCTTTTTGTTAGTTTTGGTTTACATTTCAGTTATCCTTCAGTACAGTTGAAGGAAATGGCAAGACATTTGTTAAGCTGATTCCAGAATCCAGCACTATCTAACTAAAACCCAGTACTCATTGAGACTAAAAACTTGCACAACCATTGCATTTCAACTAAAAGCAGGGAACATACCAATCAAATGAAGATCGGATAAATGGGTCTAAATGGATAAAAACATATATATTTCCTATAAATAAGAAGTTATTTCTTTTTCAGGATTTTAGTATCCAACTAAAGAAAACACAAATAGACATCATTTGGTTTCTGGAATAGTTCCAAAGAAATTCAACAAATAAATAGATGTTCTTTGATTCTGCGCACAAAATCAAGACAACCAACCAGAGATCGGGAAAAAAAGTACAAAGAAATAAAGAAGAAGAAAACTCATAACCTCTTCAGAATTAGTTAGAAATTTATGAATAAAAGAAGAAACGAACCATAAGTAGCGTAACTGGCGGTTGCAGCTGCTCCAATAAAAGCGCCGACTACCCCAAACTTGAGAAAACTCCATGATTTCTTCTCAGAGGTACTGGAAGGAGAAGAAGGGGTTGAAGGAGGTTGATCGTTGAGAATAGATGCGGAAGAGGCGATTGGCTCCTTGGGAGGATTTGCACTGACGCTTGAACAAAAGGGCCTGTTGTTCTTCGAGAGGTAGAGAAGAAGACGAGATCGAACGATTCGAGACATCTTTCAAAATCTCTCGAAGATGTAGGGTTTTACAGAGAGGTTTTAAAATGGGGAGCGACGCTGGAAGCTGCGAAGAAGCGCAAGGAACGTTGGAAAAAGCGCTAGAAGGGAAAACCAGGAATCCCACCCTAAAAGGCGTGACTCGGGCGAGTCCATCTCCGATTCGAGGCGAGTAAAATATATAAGGGTAAATTTTTTAAAGGTAAATTTCTTAAAACTATCCTTTATCTTATGACTAATACTGTTTGAAAATTGACTATACTACCCTATTATTTTTTATTTTGACAATAGAGATGAAAAAAGACTATTTTACCCTCCAGATCCTCATTTATTACCAGAACTGCTGAATCCGTTGGAACGGCAGATGATATCCGAATCTTAGACCTGAGGATCTGGGGCAACCGGCACCTGGGTCTCCATTTCTTATGAATTCATGGTCATCAAAGTCGATGTCGTCTACACCAAGTCCTTTAAGACCGAAACTATACTCATCACCCTTGCCAGACCACAAACCAGAACCCGTTCTAGAAAATGTCAACAAGTGCCTCGACAATTCTTTGATTAATTATGAATTCTTCTTCCTCATTGTTGCAATTTCTACAAATGACCATCGTTGAAAAACCCAGAAATCGAATTAGCTGAAAGCCTTGTAGCTCTATGAACTAGGAATACAGAGGTTGCCGGTGAAAGAACTTCCGACATCTAGCATAAATTAGAGGAAGTGGATGAACCCCCTTCCCTTCGTCCTCTTCCCTCCGCTTGAATCAGATCTGGGAGTTGTAGATGAATTCTTCTCAAACAATGGTTACGCTGTCTATGGCCTGAGGGAGAATCAATATTTTATGGGTAAGAGAAACCGGATGTAGAGGGGGTTAATGCATCAACAGGTTCAAGACCGAATCACTTCAGTTTCCTAAAAGGAAGAAGATGATAAGGGTAAAATTGGATTTTAAAAAAAATTATATGTCACCTATATACGAAATTAATAGAATATTAAGGGATGCAAACAGTAAGGATAGAACTAGTCAATTGTCAGAAACAATAAGGATAGCGTCAGTCAATTTTCAAACAGTAGGGGCACATTTGGTCAATTAGCTAAACTATAAGGGTAATTTAAGAAATTTACCCATTTTTTAAACTATCCTTATTGTTTAGCTAATTGACTAAGTGCATACGCTACCCTTACAATTGACTAATACTTCCCTTACTGTTATCATTCAAATGTGTATCACATGATTGTTATAACTTCCAAAAATACCTAATTTACCCTTATTATAACTTCCAACATCGGCACCAGCACCAACACCAACACCGGTTCGGACGGAATATCTCATTATCCCCTTTGACTGTCAATCTATGAGCGTAATTTCTCTACTCTCAACTCTGGTTTTCTCTCAAAAATCATCATTCACCAAAACCAATCATTGTCGATCCAGATTGTTCCTATGCATGGAGGCGGTTGTGGTTAGCGAGCTTGGTGTGCCTAGTGAGGCATTTCAAAGGAAGAATAGTATGGAAGAACTTCTGGGCGGAAATAACATATGTCTCGATTTTTTCAGGGGTTTAAGAATTGGACGAGGTGAAGAAACAGTTGAAGGAGATGGAAGAAGAAGAAGCTACTCTTTGTGAGATGTAGGCTAAAGTCGAGAGAGGGGCCACCGGCAGAACCACCTATATTCTTATCCATCCTAGTTCAATCAGTCCTTCCAAGGCCAAACTCATCAGAGCCTTCCGAGACAAAGGAGCCATCATCCTACACGGTACCATGGATGATCGTGATTTAATGGAGAAGATATTAAAAGATCACAAAATTGATGTGGTGATATCAGTCGTAGGAGGGGAGAGCATCTTAGGCCAACTCACCCTCATCAACGCCATTAGCTCCGTCGGAACTGTTAAGAGATTTCTGCCATCCGAGTTCAGGCATGACATAGATAGAGCAGTTATTAACAGTGAATAAGTGGGACAAATCGGAGTTCCTTTAGTTTTCTTTTAATTTAAGGGCATGCCTTCCTCCTCTTTTCAAGTCCAGCCTCCAGGAAGAAGAGGCCCAAATTCTTCAAGAGCAGGCAAGCGTCTCTTATCGCGTCAACATCTCAATACCCACCAAGCACCTCGTCGTGCTCATCACCTTATGGATCTTCAGTTCATTTCCTTTCTCTTTGCTTTGTTCTAATTGGAAAAGGAGACACCATCATCGAGGCATCTGCTCCGCTTGGTCATGCCCGTCACTCACCTTGGAAGCATCTGGGTGCGCCTGGTGAGGCGTTTCGAAGGGGCAAATTTTTCTGCGAGAGGAAGAAGGGGAGTTCCTCCTATCGGAGGGGCAAAATTTCCCCTTCTCTCTGTTTTATTTTGAAAATTTGTAGAAGAATAAAGGGTAAAAATAGTCTTTTCATCTTTTTGTTAACGGATGCTAACGGTAAAKGAAGTATTAGTCAATTGTCAAAAACAATAGGAGTAGCATAAGTCAATTTTCAAAAAGTAAGGGTACACTTAGTCAATTAGCTAAACCATAAGGATAGTTTAAGAAATTTACCCAATATATAAATATCGAAGAACTCCAACCCGATCCTACTAGGTTATTACTAGGGAAAATTCCCGATTAACACCTGTAATTTGGGCTTAGTGCCACATTGCTCCTCGAATTTTAAAATGCAACAATTTAATATTCAAACTTTCAAAACGTGTCAATCCAGTCAGTCAGTACCTATCGTTGATCAACCGTTAAATGATTTTGAAAATTACACAAATGTCCTTTGAATGCCATCTAATTTTCTTTATCAATCATCCAAACATTGACAAAAAAATTAACAGTCCTAAATCCTTGTCTCTTTTATTCAAGAAAGTTGGGGTCTAGAAATGCCCACTGAGACGTGACCCAACTTTCTTGAATAGAAGAAGCAAGGATTTGAGATTATTAATTTTTTGTCAACGTTTGGATGGTTAATAAAGAAAATTAGATGACACCCGAAGGGCATTTCTGTCTTCCTCAAATGCCACTTAACAGTTGGTTAACAGTAGGTATTGAATTGACACGTTTTGAAAGTTTGGGTATTGAATTGTCGTATTTTAAAGTTTGGGAATCAAAGTGGCACTAGGCCCAAAGTACAGGGTACTAATCGGGAATTTTCCCTTATTACTGAGTTTCTAACCCGATACCACTATTCGTCAAACCATCAAACAACTTGTTCCTGCCGCCAGTGGAGAAATGTCTCCCATCTCTCTTCGGCCCACTTGAATCATCTATCCGGGCGAAAATTTTGAAGGCCCAGAAATATTAAAAATGTAAGAAATAAGGGTGAATTACTTAGATATACACTTCCATAGTTTCGTTTTAGTTTTTTTTCACTACAATTGAACTTCTAATCAATTAAAAATTGGGAAATACATTGAGGGGGCTAGTTCGACTTTGGTCAGGGCAGTTTCCATACTTTCATTGTTCACGCAGATTGAGGACGTGCCACGCGTCTTTTGGTTCGTGCAGTGGCTTAATGCATGCGAAGCTCATTAAGGAAGTTTGTCCTTCCGCTGTTAGCTTTTCATTGGATCCATTCCACTTCCCACTCAAAACTCGCCAATCTCTGCCCTTGCTTGATAAACCAAACCCTATTCACTCTCTATCTCTCCCTCTCCAACTGGCGGCAACCAACATCCATCACCAATGACTGCTAACACCAATGACTGGAGAAAAACCTCAAGTATTTTGTTCATTTATTTTTTTCTTCCCCGAAAATTGCATCTTTGCCATGAAAGATGTTATACATAATTTGATTATGATAAGAAGCATGAACTCAATCCAATCTGATATATAGCCCTTGTAAAACAAATTTTTGGGGTCCATGGATGAAAACAAATGAATGAAAAGATGGATTGAGTTTATCTTTCATGGCAAAGATGAAATGTTTGAGGAAGAAAAAATGAATGAACAAAATACCTAAGGTTTTTCTTTGGTCGCCGGTGTTAATAGTCATCGGTGATGGCTATTGGTCACCGCCGATTGGAAAGAGAGAGAGAGAGAGAGAGAGAGAGAGAGAATGAGAGTGAACATGGTTTGGTTTATCAGAAGTCAAATGGATCCAATGAAAAGCTAAAGGTGGAAGGATAAACTCCGTTTAATTAGCTTCGCATGCATTAAGCCACCGCACAAACCAAAAGATGCATGGCGCATCCTTAATCTACACGAACAGTGTGAGGTTGGAAACTGCCCTGACCAAAGCCGAACTCTGGGGGGTGAGTCTAACCACTCATGAGATAAAGAAGATGAAAGTGCAAAAGCCACAAGAGTGTGGGCACAAATATTATTCCCACAATGTATAAATTGAAATTTAAGGGTGTGTTTGGTTTATGGACAGGACCGGAATCGAAATCAGATTCCCCATGAAATAGAACCGGAATCACCTATTCCTGGCACCTATTTGGTTCAGTTAGGAATCGGCATCAGATTCCAATTGTTGTGGCACAATTGGAATGATTAGAATGTCAAATTTAGTGAAATTCACTTCTTATTGGCTAGAAGTCAATTCGAACAAGTGCAATACATCCTTGATAGTTTGAGCTTGGCCAAAATATGAAAATGTCATTAAAAAAACAAATGTGAGCCTCGACCAATCTTAACACCTTTAGGCTTTGTTTGGGAAGAGTGCAAATAAAAATATGTTTGGTGTAAAACCTTGTATATGGTGGGTTAGGCTTGGAATTTTGTCAAAATTCTAATGGACCCAACCCAAAGCCCGAGCCCAAAACAGTCTAAACTGTTGACTTGGGCCAACTCGAYTTGCACCCTTAGCCGAGATAGGTAATTGGAGAGGGAATTCATGTAAATCTATCTATACTATTGTAAAAAGTGGGAATAACTCCCTATGGCTTTTAGACTTTTTTCTTAACTAAAATACCCCTTTCTTGAAATTGATCCCTTTATATTATAAGGGCAAAAGTTGTAATTGGAATACTACTATTCAATTCATTCTATTCTCTCTCTCCCTCTCTCATTAAGTTCCATATTTAAGGTATAAAATCCCATTTTTCCTCATGAAATTCTATATTTAATGTATCTTTGTTTTTAAGTTCTACTAATTAAATCCATAAGCAATTCAACCTTTGGGGTCAAACAAGTCAACCCATGATGCCATAATTAAATATTATGACAAAAAAGATAAAAAAGACAAATACAATAAAGATAATTTATATAAAAATTTAGACATATCTCTAGTATTATATATTTGTCATACTAAAGAAAAATAAGAAGCTTTTTTACTAATGATGGAAATGAAATACAAAATTTAAAACTAACTCTTAAATGAAACCACTTTTCTATTTAAGTGGTGGGTCAATGGTCCAACGATTTGGGTAAAATGGGTCCACCCATGATAGATATTATGGCTAAATAATAAAATTTTTAAAAATATACAACATACAAAAAATTAAAAAAAAAACTTAAACATATATATCTCTAGCTAATATTATATAAGAAATTATGAATCATATTATTAAATAAAAACAAGTGTGAAGAAGATTTATTTTTGTTAATGACATAAGTGTAATATAAAATCTAAAACTGATCTAGAAATGAAACAATTTCCCTATCTAGGTGGTAGGGCAATCGTCAAACCTTCTCAATAAATTGGGTTAACTAGAGGTGTCATAATTAAATAATAAATATTTAAATAAAGATAGAAATACAAAATATGAAAACAGTACATAAATTTTGTAGAAAAGTAAAGCACATATATTATATTATATATTCATCATATTAAAAAAAATAAGTGTAAAAAATAAGATATGTTTTTAATAATGATGGAAATAGAATACAAAATGTAAAATCAAGCCAAAAGAAAAACTAATTTTCCATCCATGTTGTGGGTTAGTAGTTCAATCATCTAGGTCAAATAGGTTAGCGCATGATGCCATAATTAAATAATAAAAATTTAAAAATAGATAGAAATACAATAAATTGTAAAAAACATAGAAATTTTGTAGAGAACTAGGACCACATTTCTAATATTATATGTTCATTGTACTAAAAATGTGTAATAAATGAATATTTTTTATTATTGATGGAAGTGGAATACAAAACTAGTAAAAATAGAATTAATGTCTAACATGCGACTCCACTACTAGGTTAAGTGGTTCAATGGTTCAATTAGCTAGGTCACCATGTTGTTGATTAAATTGATGGCTTTTTACAAGCAAGGAACTTGTGCATAAATGAACCTAAAATCCTAGTCGGTGATACGTCAACCAATCAAACCAATTGATTTGATTATAGGATAAAAAAGCATTGATAAAAGACAAATGCTCTAGAAATCAATTGGAATGCAATTTCCCTTCAAGTTAGACAAGCCAACTTGTGCTGTCATACATTAAAAAAATAAAAATATAAATATAAATAGAAAATATTATAAAATTTATAAAAAATTTGAGCATATCTTTAATATTATATATTTATCATATTAAATAAAAATATGCATTAAAATGATAACTTTTGTTATTAATGAAGGAAACGACTAAAATGCAAAGAAAAAAAAGGAAAAATTAATGTTTTGTCCATAGCTCACATGACCCATTAACTTGGTCAAACAAGTTAGCGGTTTAACCAAGCCAATCTTTTCTTTTTCTTTTTTTTTTCTTTCTTTTTTATGTTTTTTTTTTCCAACAAGTGATTTGAGCAGAAACATAATTCTGATTTCTAAATATATTGGGTGACATGTCAATATCAATTTGACTATCCAATTCAACTGCAAGTTGAAAACATTGTATAAACTACAAGTCAAAAGATTTGATGCTCGGTTTGGAAATTGTCACCTACAATGTATACATTTACTAGTACTATTATAAAAAAGTATAAGTCCATAATGTGAAACTTTCAGTTGACCAAAATACCCCTATTTTGAATTTGGTCCCTCTTTAATTGTGAGAGCAAAAGATGTAATTTGAACTACTACTTTTCACCTTGTTCAATTTCCCTTCATTAAGTCTTTTATTTAAGATATTAACTCCTATTATCATTTATTGAATCCTATTCTTGATTACAATACCCTTGCTTTTGAATTATGTCCTCTTTGATCATGATGGCAAAAAATGTAATTTGAGGCCATGTTTGGTTCACTGCTTTGAGCCTCATTCTCTTATTTCTTCCTCATTTTAAGCAATGATGGGCAAGAATGAATAACATTAGTGTTTGGTTATAAAATTCTTGCAAAGGGCCACATTCTTTTTAGAATGAAAAATCAGCTTCATAGCACAAAAATTGAGTAGCTTGCAACATGAAAAATAATTATGCCCCATCTTGCTCATTTCATTCTTTAAGGAAACTCTGCCTACAACATAAATGTTTACTTTTGTGAAATCGCTTTTACAAAAACACTTTTATAAAAGTACTTTTACATGAAAGCACTTTTATGAATCTACTTTTACAAAAGCACTTTTATGAAAGTACTTTTATATGAAAGCACTTTTACGGAAATACTTTTATGAAAGCACWTTTTTGGAAGTACTTTTTACAAAAGTACTTATATAAAAGCACTTTTATGAAAGTACTTTTATAAAAACACTTTTACGAAAGCACTTTTATAAAATCATTTTTATGATAGAACTTCTATAAAAGCACTTTTACGAAAGCACTATTACAAAAGTACTTATACAAAAGCACTTTTATAAAATCACTTTTATAGAGTACTTTTATGAAAATACTTTTATAAAAGCACTTTTATGGAAGTACTTTTATGAAAGTACTTTTATAAAAGCACTTTTATGAAAGCACTTTTATAAAAGTACTTTTACGAAAGCACTTTTATAAAAMTTTTATGAAAGCACTTTTATAAAAGGACTTGTGTGAAAGTACTTTTACAAAAGTACATTTATGGAAGTACTTTTACAAAAGCACTTTTATGGAAGTACTTTTACAAAAGCACTTTTATGGAAGTACTTTTACAAAAGCACTTTTAGGAAAGTTTTTATGAAAGCACTTTTACAAAAGGACTTACAAAAGTATTTTTACAAAAACACTTTTATGGAAGTATTTTTACAAAAGAACTTTTATGGAAGTACTTTTATGAAAGCACTTTTATGGAAGCACTTTTACAAAAGTACTTTTATGAAAGCTATTTTATGGAAGTATTTTTACAAAAACACTTTTGGGAAAGTACTTTTATTAAAGCACTTTAGTGAAAGTACTTTTACAAAACATCTATGCCAAATGGTAAAGATTGATTGTTGGAGACTTCGGCTGGTGGTTTGTGAATACTGACACGATTTTTTTTTTTTTGAAGAATGAAAATGAGCAACATAGGACATTTGTTAGTATGAAAAGAATTCATTTTTAGGAAAAAAGTGTTTGGTTTATAGCAATATTTTCTCATTCTGCCTATTTTTACCAATTCTTTTCCATTTTAGAATTTCATCTTGGGTAAGAATGAGAAAGAATGAGAATTGAACCAAACATGACCTGAACTAACACATTTTACCTTATTCAATTCCATCTCATTAAGTCTCATATTTAAGGTATTAAGCCCCATTCTCTCTCATTGAATCGTATAATTAAGCTATTTTTGTCTCACCAATAAATTCTATTAATATCTATATCCGATACTTTTAACAATATAAAACTCATGTTTTTAAAAACTAACCCAAAAATAAAATTATTCTTCCATCTTGGTGGTGGATTAGAAATTCAACCATTTGAGTCAAATGAGTCAACCCATGAAGTCATAGTTAAATTATAAATCTTTTAAAATATAAATGGTTATAAATTAAAATTACAAAAAAATGAAGAAATAATTGAGTATATCTTTAATATTTTATATTAAGCATATTAAATAAAAATAAGTGTGGTAAACAAAAYTCAAAACCAAGCCAAAAAGGAAGTTGTTTTCGTATTTGGTGGAGGTCAACAGTTCAACCTTTTGGGTTAAATGTGTCAAACCTTTGTGCTTGAATTAAATATAAAAACATAAAAGATATGAAAAATGCAAATATTGAATAATATGTTATATATTAATCATATTTAAAAATAAATGTAAGACACAAKAATTGTTTTTAGTGATGATGAAAATGATATACAAAATTTATAATTGACCAAAAGATGAAGTTGTTTTCCTATTTGGTGGTGGATCAATAGTTTAACAAATAAAAACACAAAAAATTATAAAAAGATATTTTGCAGAATACATTTAGGCACATCTCTAATATTTTATATTAATCAAATTAAAGAAAAATAAGGATGACAAACAAAAATTATTTTATTGATGATAGAAATTAAATACAAAATTTAAAACCAACCTAAAAGTGAAATTGTTTTCCTATTTGGTGATAAGCTAATAGTTCAATCTTTTGGGTTAAATGCATAAACTCTTAATGTCATAATTAAATATAAAAGTTGAAGAAGATAAAAATATAAAATAAGTACAAAAAATACATATTTTTATCAATAAAAAATAAAAAAATACATAAACTTTGTAAAATACATTTGGACAATATCTTTATTAATATATATATATATTCATCATATTAAATTAAAATAAATGTGATATATAAGAATTATATTAATATAAATAAAAATATAGTAAATTGTAGAAAAATTTGACAATATATTATTACCAACATCATTATCATCATCCACACTTATCCCGGGCACATTTATAGGTAGTTGGGATCTTTTGCCAACAAAATACGTTCCAACCCAAGTTCAGCTTCAATCAGTGCAAGACCCGTTCAAACACCCTTTACAGCCTTGCATTGGGAAGATCTCCATACTTGTATGTTTTATTTCATGAGGAGATATTCCCAATACAAGGTTGGGAGAGGTTGTTTAAATAGAGTGAGCACTGACTTGCACTGACTGAAGCCTAAGGCTTCCAACCCACTACCAACTAGATCTAACACCGCACATCTCACCATTGAAACTGGGACTCGCCATGTATGAGATGTGCGGTGTGAGATCATGTTGGTACAGCGTTGGAACGTGTTCTAAGGCGAAAGTGCGAAATAGGTCGCCTTGTCCTAATCCACGAGAAGGTTGAAAGTTGAAACACCTCCCACGTGTTGATTGGTGCAAAGCGTAAACCATTAACGGTTAACGCCTTGTTGTTGTCCATGGTTGCTCACAACGCGAATCGAATAGCCAACGCCCAACGGATATGCGTCTCTCTCTCTCTCTCTCTCTCTCTTATGACTGTTATCTAGTCGGACATCGGCAGAAAGACCGCTGACCTCGGCCTCCTTTTAGTCCCGTTCACTCTGCCTCTCCCGTTTGCTTCTTAACGAAATAAGGGAGAATAAGAAAGAGAGACAACGGAAGGGAAGAGAAGCCGCTAATAGATTACGAGTCTCTGAATCAGATCGATCGGAGATCTGAGGACATTTCTGATCGATCTGTTCTCCTTCCGCTTCAGCAAAGATGAATATATTCAGATTATCGGGGGACATGACCCATCTCGCCAGCGTTCTCGTCCTACTCCTCAAGATCCACACCATTAAATCCTGCGCTGGTACTCTCTTTTTCCTTTCATGAATTTGCTTGATTTCATTGCCATTTTGAATGTTTTATTGATTAATGGCTTCGCATCCCCTGAAACAAGATGGGATTTTTGGCTTTGGCTGATTTTTTTTTTTTGCGAGGTACTAGGGTGTTGGAAACATTGGCATTCTATTATTCTTTTCTCTTCTTTTATTTTTCTTTGCCTCGAATCTGCGTAATATAAATTTATAGAAGCACATTTGTAATAATTATGCGGGGTTGTGTAAGAATTTGGAACCTTTCATACTACTGCTCCAAGGGCAGCGACCTTGGTGGTGTCCGATAGTCTGGGTTAGAGTGAGTGATACAAACAGCTAATTGAGGTTACTGTAATGGGCTTGATCAACCTGGAACAAGGCAAAAAAGTCCTCAACTTGTTTGTGATTTGACTAAGGTTTACCCATTAAAATAATCTGGACAGAACTGAAGAGAGTTTAACTTTAAACTGTTTAAATAATCAAGAAAACAAGTAAGAACAGAACCAGGGATGGTTAAGAGATATAAAATGTTGGTTAGAGGTTTAAACTGTTTAAATAATCTCTAATGTTATAAGAGGATTTTTAAAGCCTAGAAGCATAAGAAATAAAGAGAAAAGGGTGGGGGTGGGTGAGAGAATAAAGCGAAAATAAACAGAGTTCTGACCTTGGTGGTGTCCGATAGTCTGAGTTAGAGTGAGTGATACAAACAGCTAATTGAGGTTACTGTAATGGGCTTGATCAACCTGGAACAAGGCAAAAAAGTCCTCAACTTGTTTGTGATTTGACTAAGGTTTACCCATTAAAATAATCTGGACAGAACTGAAGAGAGTTTAATTTTAAACTGTTTAAATAATCAAGAAAACAAGTAAGAACAGAACCAGGGATGGTTAAGAGATAAAATGTTGGTTAGAGGTTTAAACTGTTTAAATAATCTCTAATGTTATAAGAGGATTTTTAAAGCCTAGAAGCATAAGAAATAAAGAGAAAAGGGTGGGGGTGGGTGAGAGAATAAAGCGAAAATAAACAGAGTTCTATGCAATGGAAATAAAGGTAAGGCCAGAACAAATTTAAGGCAAGCAAGGATAAAGAAGAGCCTAATAAAATCAATCTCATTTTCTCTAGAAAAAACTCTTCGCTCATTCATTCAATTAATGCTCAAAACAGTGTTTTCATTGGTTTATGTAGAGAATGCAAATGTCTCTCTTGAGACCTGCTGCACCTGCAAAATGTTTATTTGCCTTAACAATGAAACCAAAAGAAGAAATATCAAATACTTGCTAGAAAGTGAATCTTCTAGATCCTCTAAATATTCAGAATATCTTGAAAATCCAATAAAATCTGGAAAAGACTTGACTACTATGAGGTTCTTAAGATTTGATTGAGATTGAATCTTTTGAATATTGTACAGGGTCCACATGAGTTGATCACTAGCTTCTGGGGATGCTGAAATAGGCTCAATGTTGTGGACCTTTGAATCAACTCAACAGTTTATTAGGCTTGGGCTCATTGGGCAATATTTTTAGGCCAATGGATTTCAGTTGGTTTCACAGGATTTGTCATTTGTGAAAGTTTGATACTAGTCCGTCGTGAGAGCCACTAGAAGGCCAATACAGATCTAGAAGAAGCTATGGATTTGACTTCCCATTTCTCAAACTCTGACTTTGCATCAAATTCCTTGTCAGATAGGGAAAGTTAAATAGCATTGGCACATTCCTTGTGTCATTTAAGATTCGAAGTTATGAAGAGACCTTGGCTGTTTTAATTCCATGTGATAATTCAACCCAATTCTCTTTCCATCCCACTTTTAGGCTATGTTTGGTTTGAAGGAAAAAGTAGGGAAAGGAAGGGAAAGGTAGGGAAACCTTTACAAATCTTGTATAGGTTATCCTACCTTTCCCTTCCTTTCCCTACTTTTTCCTTCAAACCAAACACAGCCTTAATTCACACAAACACAGGAAATGGAGTTTAGTGGCCCGATTAGGGAGTTTATTGTACCTCTGAGGTTCTGATTTTATCCATATTATTACAACCTAAGAAAGATTGTTGATCTGTTATTAGAAAAGATATTTTAAATGTTAAAGGGGGAAAAATGTGGTTCCTTTCTAATGGCTAGCCTAGTGAGCAAAGGGATCAGTGATATTGAATTGGTTAATGGTGCACCCAGACTTTCAAGTTGTGGCTCAGTTGTCATGTATATCAGACTTTTTGTCTTCTTTGTCAAAGATGTTTAAGGTGCTTGTTTTTATGCTTTTTATTATGTGCAAGTCATTTTGTTTTCTCAAATGTGTCTCCTAATTACCTTCTTTATTGCCTTTTGTTCTTCCTTTTTCCTCAATAATTTTTTTTATTTACTATTAGAAAAAGCATGGAAGCTGATTCAGAAAACATTGATTTCCAATTGAAAGGCTTCTTCTATTCATATATTATCTTCATGTTGTTTTAGTAAAAAAATGTATCTCCTACATTTCCATGTCTCAGGTCATTGTATGACTGTACTTAACAGTTCTCACACCATAATACATGTCTAGCTAATGGTTTCTCAAATCATATGCAGGCATTTCTTTGAAGACTCAAGAACTCTATGCTATTGTTTTTTCTGCTCGGTACTTGGATATTTTTACTGATTTTATCTCACTATATAATACCATCATGAAATTAATCTTCCTTGGGAGCTCGTTTTTAATTGTCTGGTACATGAGGCGACACAAAATTGTTCGTAGATCATATGATAGAGAGCAAGACACTTTTCGCCACTTTTTTCTCATACTGCCATGCCTACTTTTAGCCCTATTTATTCATGAGAAGTTCACCATTAAGGAGGTAACTGCATGCCTTTGCTTTAGGGGATACTTGTGTTTTCAGTGACCTTAATAGTAATGTATACTTATCATTTTCCTTAGTTTTAAGACAATAGTGCATCTTGATACTTGTGAAATTTGTATTATATGTTTGTTTTAACTGATGACCCCTTTTTTTTACTTTTCAACATGGATCAGGTAATATGGACTTTTTCATTATATCTGGAGGCTGTTGCCATACTTCCTCAGCTGGTATTATTGCAGAGAACTAGGAATATTGACAACCTGACAGGGCAATATGTTTTTCTTCTTGGGTAAACTACTACCTCCAAATTTTCTCAAGTTGTTTTACCAATTTCACTGAGTACCACAAAATCTAATTAGTAGATGACTACATTCTCATAAAAAGGGTTGGTTGGCTAAATATGCCACGCTCGCCCTCGATTGGTGAATGCTGTATGGCTATCAAGACATATGGACAACATAATTTGTGATGACTACATGCTCATCTACTGCATCTTCTTCTACTAATACATTGAGAGCCAAACAAATTTGTCAAAAGATAGTCTGATTAGTTTGTCTTCACTTCACATATTTCATTATATCACAGGTTTATGCTTGGTTATGTCATGAATTGCACATTCATTCCAAAAGAATGCTGTCAATTTCAGGGCAGAAGTCCTTGCCCTCCTTCAAGGACTAAAATTATCTTATTCTTCAAGTTGGACTCAACTGATGGTTGAAGGGGAGTATCAAATAGTGGTTAGTTGGCTTGTATCAATGGAAAAAGGTTGCTGTCCCTTTTTTTTTATCAGCAACACAGAAATAAATTTCATTAATTATGAGAGAAACATGATTACAAAAAGTTGTGAAAAGAACCAGCTATAGAAGCTGTTCCAAATCAGTACTACATTTGAGCCCAAAACATATGCGTTCTATGTACCCCTTGCTTGGCTAAGCTATCTGCCAAGCTATAGCTGTCCCCTTGGATGCTTAGAGGAGCAAAAACTGATGTGGTCCATTTAGCAAGAACTGATGTGGTCAGAAATAAATTAATGTTCAATGGGTCATACCCCTATAGTTAATAGTTTCTTCCTTTCTCTCCCTTTCTTTTCACACACATAAAAGTTATAACATTTTGGAAGATAGGATATAGATACCTGTACAAGGGTTCTCATTTGTATACTATTTTTTAGTGTAAACCTGTATCCAACACCTTGTTTGCTTGCTCTTTCATGTACCACATTTTTAAATCCAAAAGCTACTATGCGACTGACTGCACTTTTTGTTTTCTCTTATAATACGTACTTCTGCATACACAATCATATAGTTCCATCACTCTTTTTCTTGTCATATAATCTCTTTCTATTTTAGTAATTTCTGTGTTTCTTGATGCAGTGCATACCGGGCATTGTATCTAGTCAATTGGGTTTATCGTTACTTTACTGAGCCACACTATGTACACTGGATAAGTAGGATTCTCTCTCTCTCTCTCTCTCTCTCTCTCTCTCTCTCTGTATTTGTTATATATAGTTCATGTACTTAGGATCAGTTTGGAAAGAGTACAAATAAAAATGTGTACAGTGCAAATACATACAAAATACAAGGTTTTGCACTATACATACTTGTATTTGTACTCCTTCCAAACTGAGCCTCAAGTACAGATAGATACTGTACAAATATGCATTGTTCTGTCTGTATGTTTGCATGAAGCTGAATAATGGTATCATATCCTTGATTTCCTTGATTTTACCTTCAATAGGTGCTTGGTGTTTTGTTTTGTTTTTTTTTTTTTTTCAATTTGTAAGTAGTTGTCATCATCAAGACCTAACAGTCCTGTTAACAACCTTAAACAAAAAAATTACACTGTTCTCTGACTTACTTCATGTCTACTTGAAGTTGATGGATGAATTTGCTACTAATTTTCCATCCAAAGGGAAGGTATAATTGGATGGTGTCTGAACAATGCCATTTCTTTGGCACTGATATATTCAGGGAGTACTCAACACATAGAAGTCAACAAGTTCATATGATACTAGCCACAGCGATGTCAATTTATTAATTTGTTTTTTGTTTTCTTGGATTCATACATAATGGCTATTTTGGTTTTGCAGCTTGGATATCTGGGCTTGTTCAGACATTACTATATGCAGATTTCTTCTATTATTACTTCCAAAGGTAAATTGGTCCTATCTTATTCACCAATGTATTATTTAAAGATATGTAGTAATGCTTGCACAGAAATATGGATTGACTTTTTAATTTATGCTTTGCAGCTGGAAGAAGAATGAGAAACTCCACTTACCAGCTTGAGTTCTTGATTCATTTAAGCAACCCGATGGTTTGGTGCAGGTTCAGGTTATATGAATATTCATTTCTTTGAATCCATTTGTGTTGCATTGCTGGGCTTGTCAAACAAGAGGCAAGCTTTTCTTTTCTTTTTTTTTTCTCTGTAAAGGAGGATTTGGAGCCAGGGTATCATATCATTTCTAGATAATGTGGGAAAAAGCATTTTATATCTAGCACTGCAACATGTTCTTTTATTTATCAAAAAAAAAAAAAATGCAACATGTTCTTTTATGTAACAACTAGGGGCTACAGTCCATCTTCCTTTTTGGTATTCCATTTTCTAAAAATATATTGAATTAGAAATTATTCTATGGCACAATATCTATGTTATATTTCCAGTTCTTGCTTTCCAGTTTTTTCCATGCAAATGATATCTGCTATAGTGGGTACACAAATGCTAATGTGATGGGCATGTTCATCAAGGAGCCCTTTAATCATAAAAAACATGAAAAGACTATACTCCATAGCCTCCTGTATATGGGATAAAACACCATAATTATGTTTTGTCCTCTTGTGATTTAAGGGTCCTGTGATGGGTAAGGTTAGTTATGCTAGTACGATCAAGTTAAGCACTGGCTAGCACAAGCATCAGGTGGGTATTAGGAAGCTCTTCTCACTTTTCATGAAATGAAATCAAGCTTCTGTTATTTATCAAAAATAAAACAGAATAAAGCTCTTTTGTTGGTCGGTCAGAGTTCGTGTTGTTTGTTTATCAGACAAGCTCCAGTTAGGACCAGTCCTTTCCAAGATCAAACGTAGTGAGCAGAAAGAAAAACATCACGTTAGGATCTCCATGGAATGGAAATTGCAGATGAACTGCTTAGGCTCATTATTGAGGCTGGTCATGCTCTCCAGCTGCTTGGTTTTGTATGCCCTCATGAGTACCAAGCGGTTGACAGCCATGGAGGGAGGATTAAAAAAACAGGATCTGCTTCTTTTCTGCAATCTCCTAAATACTTGAGTGAGTGAACCAATCAGAGCAAAGGCCATTTCCCAATGTTGGTCCCAGTTATCTTGAGAGCGGTAGACTGGAGTGAAGCAGTCAGATGCATTCACTAATTTCTGGTTGTTACTAATCCAAAGATGAACGAGATAAAAGAGCATGATAAGTAGGGATGGGATTAAAAAGCATTATTCAGTTAAACTGAGTTAACCGAAAACTGGAAGTTTAGTTAATCGAAAAAACAGAGTTAACTGAACTTTATATATATATATACTAGTAAATATGCACGTACTTTGTACGTGATGATGGTGATAGTAAATTTTTTCTGTATTTTTTATATTTCTATATGTATAAAAATTATTCTTATTTTGTCACATTGATTTTTGTTTAATATGATGAATATACAATATTATAAATGTGCTCAACTGTTTTTTATAAATTTTTTGTATTTTTATACTTTTGTGTGGTTTTATCTTCTTTTAATTTTTATTATTATTTAATTATGACATCAAGGATTGATACATTTAAACTCACTACCAAATAGGAAAACAATTCCATTTTTGTATTGGTTTAAATTTGTAATTTATTTCTATCATCAATAAAAACAGTTATTCTTTGTGACACTCTTTTTTGTTAATGTGGTTAATTAATATCAAAGATTAGAGTGCCAAAATGTTTTCTACATAATATACATACAATGCATACATACATACATATATATATATATATATATATTGTGTTTTCATCTTTTTTAATTTATTATTTAATTATTTAATTATGACTTAATGGGTTGACATTATTTGACTTGAAAGGTTGAATTATTGATTTATCATGCCAAATAGGAAAACAATTTCACTTTTGGGTTATCTTTAAATTTTGTATTTATATCCATTATCAATAAAAAAGTTGAAAACAAATCTTATTATCGTGTTTGATTTTTAATATGATTAGTATAAACTATTTGAGATGTGTCCAAATGTTATATATAGAGTTTTATATATTTTTCATAATTTTTATATATTTGTCTATTTTTATCTTTTATTATTTAATTAGAAGATTAAAGGTTAATACATATAATCCAAAAAGTTGAACCATTCACTTACCACAAGGAAAATGATTTCACTTTTGGGTCAGTTTTAAAATTTATATTTTATTTCCAACATCAACAAAACATTTGTTATGTATCACACTTATTTTTCTTTAATATGATTCATATACAATATTAGATGAGTGTCTAAATTATTTTTTTTTTTACAATTTTTTTGTATTATTACATAATGCTTTTTTTGTGTTTTTTTTTTTTTATCTTTTTTCAGTTTTTACCTAATTATGATATCAACATTGACACTTTGACTCAAAAGGTTGAATTGATGACCTATTGCCACAAAAATATTTTTTTTTGGATTGGTTTTAAATTTATATTTCATTCCAACATTAATAAGAATAATTATTATTTATCACACTTATTTTCTTTTATATGCTTAATATAAAACATTGGGAAATTGTCTAAAATTCACCGTGAGTTTTCAACATTTCCCTTAAACTCACAACTTTTCAAAATGTCTAAAACTCACCATGTTAGTAAGTTTTTATTTTCCAAAACTCACCTTCCGTTATTGCATCATTAATGCTTCTTGGTGTCCATGTCAGCATAAATAACAATTTTTATGACCAAATTACCCTTGAATGGTGAGTTAGAGGAAAAATGGTCTTTTTTTAGTTTTCAATTTTCTTTTTTTTGCATTTTTAGTGTTTTGTTATAATTTCCAATGTTTTTTATAATTTCTGTTTTTTACATTTTCTATTTTCTACAATCTATAAATTTTCCTGTATTTTTTGTTATTTATTTGTAATATTTGTGTTTTTCTATTATTTTTTGTGTTTTTTCTACAATTTTTATTTTCTGATTTTTATTTTCAATTTCTATAGTTTCTATAATTTGAAAATAATTTTTTATTTTGTTTGCAGTTTCTATAGTTTTTTATATTTTTGTAATTTCTATGTTTTTATGTATTTTATATTTGAAAATATTTTTTTAACTTTTTCCTTTTTTCATGTCTAAATATTAAAATGGTAATATATTAACACCCATTAATTTATTTTGTATATATTCTATATTTTTCTATGAAGGTTAAAATTGTAATATGTTAACACCCATTAGTCTGTTTAATGTCAATTTAGTGGCATGGTGAGTTTTAGAGATTTTGAAAAGTTGTGGTGAGTTTAAGAGAAATGTTGAAAACTCATGGTGAGTTTTAGACAATTTCCCTAAAACATTAGAGATGTGCCTGATATTTTTATATTATTTATTTATTTTTATTTTAAAGCTTTTTTATTTAATTATGACATCATGGATCAATCCATTTGATCTGAATGGTTGACTTGCTTACTTTCCACTAAGATGGAAGAATGGTTCCATTTTTTGGTTAATTTTAAAAGCATGAAAGAGTGGGAGTTAATACCCTAAATGATATTGAATTAAATGAGGAAAAATGCAGTGGTTCAAATTACATTTGGTGCCCTCATAGTTAGAAAGTGACTAAAGTTAATTCTCATTTTTTAAAACATATTTTTGTTTAAAACGAAGAATATATAATATTAATGCATCTCCAAAATTTTCTATAAAATGTATAAAACATTCTATATTTTTATTTTTTATTATTTAATTTATAACATATAACATAATAAAAGTTATTTATTTACCAAGCAGAAATGCAATTCCAATATATTGTTTGGATATTGGTTTTTAATATTGTGGTCAAATCAACTTATTAGACTGACTAATCCACCATTGAGTTTAGGATTATAAGTGTATTTACCACTACACCACTTGCCTACGGTGACCTAGCTAATTAAATTATTAAACCATTTGACAAGGCTAGTGGGGTCATGTGTACATTAATGCTCTTTTTTTTTCTCCTAATTTTTATCCCATTTCTATCATTAATTAAAATAATTCTCATTTATCACACTTTTTTCTATGATAAATATATAATATTATAGAATGTGCCTAAATTTATCTACAAATTTCTACATTTTCTAGAACTTTATGTATTTTATTATTTAATTATAACATCATGTTGATCCATTTGACATGGACAGTTGACCTATTAACCCACCACCTGAGTTGAAAAACCATTTTGCTTTTTTTTGGTTGATTTTAAATCATGTATTCCATTTTCATCATTAATAAAAGTAATTCTTATTTTCACATTTGTTTTTGTTTAAAATGATGAATATGTAACATTAGAAATGTATCGAAATGCTTTATACAAAGCTTATACTTTTTTTTTTGAGTTTCTATATATATATTTTAATATTTATTACTTAGATATGAAAAAGGTTTCATTTTTTGACTAGTTTTAAATTTTGCATTTCATTTATATTATTAATAAAATAATTATTATTTATCACATTTATTTTTGTTTATATGATTAATATATAATATTATAGATGTGCCCAAAATTGTTTCATATTTTTGTATTATTCTATTTTAAAATTTTTATTTTTTAATTGTACATCATAGGTTAACCCATTTGTCCTAAAAGGTTAAACCACTAACCTACCCTCTAGAGTGGAAAATGATTTCATTTTCCATCAGTTTTAAGTTGTACATTCCAAGTCCATAATTAATAAAATTATGTCTATTTAATCATATTTAACTTTTTAATATGACAAGTATATGATAATAGAAATGTGTCCATTTTTTTWAAATTTCTTTATTTTTTATATTTTTTTGTATTTTTTATATATCTAAATTTGTATTATTTATTTATAACATCATGGAGCTATCCATTTACCCAAATGGTTGAACTACTTACCCACCACCTCCATGGAAAGTATGGTTTAATTTCTAGGTTTATTTTAAAATATAAAACTTCATTGTATTAATAATTATTGTATATGAATTTATTAGTAGAATTTAATGATGAGAAACAAAGGTATAAAGGTTGGATTCAATGAGAAAGAGAGAGAATAAGATTTATTTAATGCCTTAAATGTGAGATTTAATTAGAGGTAATTGAATGTACTTAATAGTATTATTTTAATTACATTTTCAGCCCTCTCAATGAAGACAAACTAAATTCAAAAGGAGGGGCATTTTAGTAAAAAAATCCAGAAACCTAACTCATTCACACTTTATAAGTAGTATAGAAAAAAAATCTAAATGAGGGGTATTTTAGTGAAAAAAATTCTAGAAACCTAATTCCTCATTCACACTCTGATAATAGAAATGTGCCCATTTTTTTCAAAATTTATTTATTTTCTATATTTTTTTTGTATTTTTTATATGTCTAAATTTTTATTATTTATTTATAACAACATGAAGTTATCCATTTGACCCAAATGGTTGAATTATTTACCCACTACCTACA